CGTGCACATTTGACTTGATTTTTTTTTTCTTGTAGTGTTTTATGCCTCTGTAAGTATTTAGGTGCTAGGGGCATTTAATACTTTATCTCTGAACATATACTTGTGGCAGATTTCGCGGGAATGAGTGTGTCCGCGACGCGCAGGTGTGTGTATGTCTGCTTCAAGTACGTGTATTTGTTGAGAAGCTCAACCTGAATGTCTGGGGTCACCCGTTTGAAGGTTTACTGACATACACGAGGTTAAGAAAATTCACGAATTTTACTTAAAAAAAAAAAATTGAAGGAAGCTAGTCGGCTGTGTATTTAGGCTAAGTCATTATCAATCAAGAATCGTTCAGACGATTGAACTTACTTTTTCGCAAATGACGTTACTATAGAATTACATTGGAAATGATGTTACTATAAGAATGCATTAGAAATGTTGATACTATAGAAATGCCTTGAAAATGATGTTACTATAGAGTGACTTGTAAACGATGTTATTAGAGAATGCATTGTAAATGAGGTTAATAGAGAAATCCATTGCAAATGATGTTACTATAGAAATGCATTGCAAATGATATTACAATGGAGATGCATTGTAATTTATGTTACTATAGAAATGCATTGGAAATGATGCTACTATAGAAATACATTGAAAATGACATTACTATAGGGGGCATTGAAAATGATGTTACTATAGAAATGCATTGCAAATGAGGTTAATATAGAAATTGTAGTAGAAATATTTTTAATATGGAAATGCATTGCAAATAATGCTACTATAGATTTGCATTGGAAATGATATTACTATAGACATACATTTAGAATGATATTACCAAAGAAATAGATTGCAAATGATCTTGCTATAGAAATACATTTCAAATGATGTTACTATATGGTGCATTGTAAATGATGTTACTATAGAAATGAATTGCAAATGAGGTTAATATAGAAATCCATTGCAAATGATATTACTATAAATATACAATGAAATTACTATAGAATACATTGCAAATGACATTACTATAGGATGCATTTCAAATGATGTTGCTATAGGAATGCATTGCAAATGATGTTACTATAGATATTGTAGTGGAAATGATTTTACTATAGAAATGCATTGCAAATAATGTTAATATAGAAATACATTGGAAAGGATGTTACTATTGAAATGCATTGCGAATGATATTACCATATAAATACATTGCAAATTATGTTACTATAGAAATTCATTGCAAATGATGTCACTATAGAAATGCATTGGAAATAAAATTAACAGATTATTTGCACTGAACATTGAATCCATTGTTAGGCCAGCTTCTAAGAAAAATGGTCCATTCAGTTGTGTGGCCCAATATTTTTTATAGAATACTAGCAGGAGAGCCCGTCGTTGCCCGGGGATGTAACAGTAAGAGATAGATCAAGTATCGACCATCATAAAGACTGAAAAATAAAATTGACAAAGATTATTGTTTAAGGTTGACGGACATGCATGTCTAATTAGTTTTATTTTGTTTTTTTTTTGGGATTTTTTTACAAACCCAAACTCAAAAACAAAAACATTGTTTTCAATCGTTATGAGTCTACCAATTGAATAGAATTTTATTATAAACAATTGTCTTGTAAATGGAATTTTTAAAGCATTCTGAATGTAAAATAAAGAAAAAAGTGTGAAAGACAACAAGAAAGACTACCTGCCAAAAAAAGTGAAATTTTGTTGAAATCGGTTGAAAAATGTAGGAAATCCGATCCCATATATAAACGAACACACACACACACACACACACACACACACACACACAAACAACCTGGGTTTTATAATAAGTATAACTCGATATGAGTTGCCCCTCTTTCATTAATGCCTCTTAATCGTGTTTTCAAATTGATTTCGTGCAAAAACAATTGTGTTTTTCCAATTTTTGGTGCTCTCAGAACCACCACAAGGTAATTTTACGTGGTCCTATGAAGTTTTGTTGAAATCGGTTGAAAAATGTAGGAAATACAATCCCATATATAAACGTACAGACACACACACACACACACAATCTGCGTTTTATAATAAGTAAGATCTGTTTTTAATTCTTCCACACCCTGTGACCCCATGTGTCTTAGTGGCTTTACTACCTTGTTTGGGTGAACTCGATTAAGAAAAAAATCGATCTTCTATAATTTTGTGGAGTGTCATTTTCATTCCAACCTAATTGAATCCATTCTTTTCAAATAATTTTACTAGAGAGATGCACAGGGAAATATATCCTAAACAGACTTATGTCATTCTGAGAAAAGTCAGTAACTTTTCCTCTTGTTTAGTCTATTGAACGCAATCTTTGTAAATTGTCTTACAATAAAATGTATTTGCAATAATGTTACTAAAGAAATTCATTAGAAATGATGTTACTGTAGTATTGAAATAGAAATAATCTTACTATACAAATGCAATGGAAATGATTTTACTATAGACGTAAATTGGAAATAATGTTACTATAGCAATGGTTTGGAAATGGTGTTACTATAGTATTGAATTAGAAATAATCTTACTGTAGAAATGCATTGGAAAAGATGTTACTATAGTATTGAAATGGAAATAATGTTACTATAGTAATGCATTGGAAATATAGTATTGAAATGGAAATAATCTTACTATAGAAATGCATTGGAAATGATGTTACTATAGTATTGAAATGGAAATAATCTTACTATAGAAATGCATTGGAAATGATGTTACTATAGTATTGAAATGGAAATAATCTTACTGTAGAAATGCATTGGAAATGATGTTACTATAGTATTGAAATGGAAATAATCTTACTATAGAAATTCATTGGAAATGATATTACTATAGTATTGAAATGGAAATAATCTTACTATAGAAATGCATTGGAAATGATGTTACTATAGTATTGAAATGGAAATAATCTTACTATAGAAATGCATTGAAATGATGTTACTATAGTATTGAAATGAAATAATCTTATAGTTCATTGAAATGATATTACTATAGTATTGAAATGGAAATAATCTTACTATAGAATGCATTGGAAATGATGATACTATAGTATTGAAATGGAAATAATCTTACTATAGTAATGCTTTGGAAATGATTTTACTATTGACGCAGATTGGAAATAATTTTTTTATAGAAAGATATTGGAAATAATGTTACTAGAGAAATGCATTTGAATTATTACTACTATAGAATTGCTTTTGCAATAATGTTACTATAGAAATGCACTGGAGATAATGTTACCAGAGAATCACCCTGTAAAAAAAAAAAAAAAAAAAAAAATAAATTTCAGTAGAGTCATTATCATTCCAAAGTTGTTTAAACGGATGAACGCATTCTTCAAAAATTGATGTTTTTAAAACTTCACTGGAAATAATGCTACTAGAGAAATACATTGGAAATAGTTCTTCTATAAATTTGAGGAAAGCCATTATCATTCCAAGAGTTGTTTACGCCTTTGAACAAATTCTTTACAAATTGATGTTATTATAGAAATGCATTAGAAATTTTGTTGCTAGAGAACTATATTGTAAACAGACCTTCTACAAATTTGAGAAGAGCCATTATCATTTCAAAAAATTGTTGGCAATGTGAAAGATTCGTAAGATGATGCTTAACAGGCCGAACAACTTCCTTTGGCGATAGAAAGGAATTGTAACAATAAACTCGGAATGTCTTTTGTGTCGTTATACGTGGGCAGAGCATGGACTTTTAATGTCAAAGACCACTGACTTTATCGTTACTCCACACATACTCCTCCACGCTTTGCATATGTTATATTCTGCACAAATCAATTATTTCTAGTGGCAGGGTAAAGAGTATGTATCAAATGTTTCATTATCTTTTCTTATAGAAGAAGAAGAAGAAGAAGAAGAAGAAGAAGAAATGGAAGAAGAGGAGGAGGAGGAGGAAGAAGTAGAAGAAGAGGAGGAAGAAAAAGAGGAAATAGAGGAAAAGAAGAGGAAGAAGAAGAGAAAGAAGAAAAAAATAACAGCAATAGGAAGAAGTAGAAGAGGAGGAGAAAGCAGAAGAATAAGAAGAGGAGGGAGGAGGAGGAGGAGGGAAAAGAACAAGAATAGGAGGAATGAGGAGAAGAGGATGAAGAAAAGAGGAAGAAGAAGAAGAAGAAGAAGACCAAGAAGAAGAGAAAAACAACAATAATGGGATGAAGAAGAAAAACAAGCATAGGAGGAGGAGAATGAGGGAGAAGAAGAAGGGGAGGAAGTAGAAGAAGAGGGCGAAGAAAATAGGAAATAGAGGAAGAAGAAGAAGAAGAATGAAGAATAACAATGGGAAGAATAAGTAGAAGAAGAAGAAGAAGAAAAGGAAGAAGAGGAAGAAGAGGAGGAGGAGGAAACATTAGAAGAAGAGGATGAAGAAAAGGAAGAAGAAGAAGAAGAAGAAGAAGAAGAAGAAGAAGAAGAAGAAGAAGAAGAACAAAAACAACAACAACAATAGAAAAAAGTAGAAGATGAACTAGAAGAGGAGGTGGATGAAGACGAGAAGGAGGATCAAGAAGAAGAAAAGGAAGAAGAAGAGAGGAAGAACAATAAGAAGAAGAAGAGGAAGAAGAAAAAGAGAAGAAGAAGAAGAAGAATTAAGTAGCCATTGCACAACTTGAGTGCCATTTCTTTTGTAAAAATTAAACAACTTGAGAACTGCTCAAAATCCAAAGTTTCTGATATAAAAATTCGTCTAATGGTTGCCGAGTATCCGTCTTTTATTTAGGTATTTGCACTCAAGGGAAGACAGTGTAGATCTCAAGGCTATTACACATCGTCCATTAGTGAAGCGGAATTATGCAAAACACCCGTTAAACACCCTGAAGCAAGTATAATATTCACAAGGTATTTATCGAGTAAAGTAGGTATCCCTTATACGCAGATGATTTGTTCCTAGAAACATACTGCATGCATGAAACTGCGGATAGTACCAAACCCTATCTATCTATCTATCTATCTATCTATCTATCTATATATATATATATATATATATATATATATATATATATATTTTAGGTTTTCATTATCTATCTAGCTATTGCCGTTTGTTCATTATCTATTTGTCTTTTTATCTATTTTAGTTTTTTCATTATCTATCTATCTATCTATCTGTTTCAGTTTGTTCTTTATTTATCTATCTCTCAATCTATCTATCTATCTCAGTCTGTTCATATCTATCTATCTATCTATCTATCTATCTATCTATCTATCTATCTCAGTCTGTTCATATCTATCTATCTATCTATCTATCTATCTATCTATCTCAGTTTGGTCATTATCTATCTATCTATCTATCTATCTATCTATTTCAGTTTTGTCATTATTTATCTATCTATTTCTGATTGTTCATTATCTATCTATCTATCTATCTATCTATCTATCTATCTATCTATCTATCTCAGTCTGTTTATATCTATCTATCTATCTATCTATCTATCTATCTATCTATCTATCTCAGTTTGGTCATTATCTCTATTTATCTATCTATCTATCTATCTATCTATCTATCTATCTATCTCAGTTTGGTCATTATCTATCTATCTATCTATCTATCTATCTATCTATTTATTTCAGTTTTGTCATTATTTATCTATATATTTCTGATTGTTCATTATCTATCTATCTATCTATCTATCTATCTATCTATCTATCTCAGTCTGTTTATATCTATCTATCTATCTATCTATCTATCTATCTATCTATCTATCTATCTATATATATATATATATATATATATATATATATATATTTTAGGTTTTCATTATCTATCTAGCTATTGCCGTTTGTTCATTATCTATTTGTCTTTTTATCTATTTCAGTTTTTTCATTATCTATCTATCTATCTATCTATCTATCTATCTATAGAATCTTGGATAAACGTCTGCAGATCGTTATTGGCGTGTAACTGATATTCACCCATGTGATGTTGATTTTTATGTCCACATCTTATCTGCAAACATTTACTAAATAAATCTTATAGGCTTAAACATAAATGACCAATATTTATTTATCCTCAAACCAAGGAAATATTTGTAGATATTTGTTAATGTTTACCGTTTTTTAAAAGCATTTCACCTCAAGCAAGGCGGGAGTCCCACTGTCACGCAAAGGGGTTACAGAGGATTGAGAGCAAGAGTAAAGAGGGTTGTTTGAGGAAAGAATATAGAGAAGGACTGGGATCGGGATCAAGGCATCAGAAGATGTCGTTTGGCATTTCATTTGAATATTTAAAGATTATAGCTATTAAGGAAGCAAGTAGGAGAAAGGGAGTTCCACTGGGGGTGGGGAGTGCGAGAGAAGAATCTGTTGGAGTAGAACATGCGGTTGCATTTAATTGTTTCGACAGTGAAAAGGTAGCACGCTTAAATTCATGCAATTGGGTTACCAGTGCAAGTAGCTCGTCAGAGCAGTTTCCATGAAAATATTTGTAGAAAAGACAGAGGGAAGTCACATCACGTCTGTAAGTAAGTGACTGTAGATGAAATGCCAGAGCAGGATCGATCATATTGGATATCCATCTCTGGATTTTGTCGAGGACTTCGAGATGAACAACGGGGGCACCACACCATATATGGCAACAGTATTCAATGGAAGGACGAAAGGTAGATTTTTAGATTTGAATGATGGACTCAGGCGAGGCAAAAAAAATCTTCTGGCGCGACGCAGGGTACCAACTTTCCTTGCGGTAGATGAAGCTATTTATTCAATGTAGTTGTCCCACCTCAGGTCAGTGGAAAGTGTGAGACCAAGCAGGCCCAAAGAGACACTTTTGTCGAGTTGGACATCAACCATCCTGATAGGAGGCAGGCAGGGAGAGTTCTCTATGGTGGGTAAATGAGAGCAGTTTCATTTTGGTGTCATTAAAATGTATAAGCCATTTCGTACCCTATCAACCACAGATTGGAAGTCCTTTTCGAGACCAATGGCCAAGTTGGTTTTGTCAGCAATGCCGTATTTACTATTGAGAGAGGCGTAAATGGTAGTGTCGTCTGCGTAGACGCCTATTTGGGAACTGATGACATCAAGATGATCGTTGCTAAAGATTAGAAACAGTGTAGGACTCACGATAGAGTTTTGGGAACACCAGCGTTCGTATGAATGGAACTGGAGGACTACCCGTTTAGGAAGACCTTCATTTCACGGTTTGATAGGAATAAAAAGTCCTGTAGACTTGAATATAAACGATTGATAGTTACTTATTTCCAAACTAAGTAAATCTTTTTAGACTCAAATAAAATGGCTAATATTTACCAATACCTAATCCAAAAAATGCTTATGCTCGAATATAAACGACTAATACATACAAGCAATATTTACCTACCTCTGAACCAAGTAATAGTTTACAGACTAGTATGTAAACAACCAATATTCACCTATCTCAGAATCAAGTAACTGTTTACAGAATCAGATATAGACAACCAATATTTACCTATCTGAACCAAGTATATAAACAATCAATATTTACCTATCTCTGCACCAAGTAATAGTTTACAGACTCGTATGTAAACAACAAATATTCAATACTCAGAATCAAGTAACTGTTTACAGAATCGGATATGAACAACCAATATTTACCTATCTCTCAACCAAGTAACTGTTTGCAAATTCAGATATGGGCAGCCAATATTTACCTATCTGTGAATCAAGTAATTGTTTACAGACTCGTATATAAACGACCAATATTTATCTACCTTTGCACGAAGAAATTATATACAGAGTCGTATATAAACAATCAATATTTACCTATCTCTACACGAAGAAATTATATACAGAGTCGTATATAAACAATCAATATTTACTCGGTAATAGCGGCTTTGCGAAATTAGTAAAGTTCTAAACAATACAGTAAGGGAAATTACCAGTGACTTTGTTAAAAATCAGAAGAGAAGCTGAAATGGATGAATTCATACAAAGTACAAAGAGAAAAATAGAAGAAAAAGAAAGAAATCTAGCGGAGTGTTTTTCAATTTGTAATCACGTATTACTTTATAATGAAAGAGTGGTCATACCCAATTCTTTACAAAGACGAATTCTGAAGGACTTTCATCTTGGACACCCAGGGAAAAATCGTATGAAAGCGTTAATGAGAAGTTTCGTGTATTGGCCTAATATGGATAACAACATTACTCAAATGGTAGAGAAATGTAGAGGCTGTGCTGCGGCAGCAAAGGCATCACCTATTATACAAAAACCATGGCCTAAGGTGGACAGACCTTGGTCTAGAATCCATGCGGACTATGCAGGATCCATAGATGGATATTACTACTTGATAACGGTAGATAGTTTTAGCAAGTGACCAGAAGTTTTCAGATACAAAAACCCTACGACAGAAAACACTATTAATTGTCTACACGAGTTATTCGCAAGATTCGGCGTTATAGATTGCCTTGTAACGGATAATGATACCCAATTCACCTCGAGCGACTTCCAAGAATTCAGTGCGACTTATCAAGTCAAAATATTAAAATAGCACCATACCATCCACGATCTAACGGGCAAGCCGAAAGGTTTGTTGACACTCTTAAGAGAGCCTTGAAAAAAAGCAGAGGACGTACCAACAGAAAGAGCCATACAACAGTTCCTACAAGTCTACAGAATCACCCCGAACGGAAACACACCATCTGGCCTTTCGCCAGCTGAAGTGATGTTTGCCCGCAAAATACGGTCTCTCTTTGATAAACTATTACCCAGCAAAAATAAAAACCGGCATACACCGATAATGCCTAAAAGATCCTTCAAACCAGGCGAATGGGTCTATTTCAGAATGTTCAAGAATAATATGGCATACTGGGAACCAGGTACGCTGATAAACATACTGGGGAATGTTCTATACACGATCCAAGGTGAACAATTCACTCACAGGAGACACATAAATCAGATACCGAAAAGACGGGTAGAGGAACCAAACTCGTCACCTTGCGAAAATGAAGACGCGATGGAGGCGATTTTCGAAGCCTTCGAAATTCAAAAATCACAAGTAGCCTCGGAGATCAGAAGAACAAGCCGGAAAAGAAAAGTCATGGAACCACTAAGCGAAAAAAATATTCACGGAGCCATAAGCGAAAAAAAAAAAAATTAACGCCCCCCCCCCAAGAAGCTAAGGAGGGGGGTGTTATGGGGATCTCCCCTTTTTACATACGATAGACTCGTCCAAAGTATAGTGGCAGAGAGAATACTTGCTGTTGAGATACGTTGAGACAGCTTGAGAGATACGGAGACAGACACAGGATGTTCTCAGAGAGTTATACAAGAGTCCAGAGAGTGAGATGATTGCGGCTTTACTTACCGAGACTTGTACATATACTTTCTACTAACCTGCATTTCTGGACTACTAATCTTCACTTCAAGTCTGTATTCTTACGTTTAATACACTTATTTTTATATCTCAATTACTGGAGTTGTTTATTTATTTGTGTAGGATTCCATTCACGGAATCCACAACAATTACAATGTTTTCGGCCGTTGTACGCTCCGGCCTTTTTCAGGTGGTTGGAATGTCAAACTGAACCCTTTATTTCGCCCACTGGGGTAGACTGTTCTAGTTCCACGTGCCATGTTTAATGGATGTCAGTTATCAGTTATCTCCTGTTAATTCCCCTCTCCAAGTTTTCCACTTTCTTAACCAGGTATTGAACTCACACTCTTTGGGTCTTGTCACTGGATCTAACTAACGCCTTTATCCACTGTGTCATGTGTCCATGGGTTAAGTTCGACATTCCAACCACCTAAAGAAGGCCGGAGCGTACAATGGCCGAAACGTTGTAATAAATATGGCGACAAAGATGAGAAGAATAGTCCGAATAATGTAAATAGTGTAGATAGTAAACGGACTGAGATAGATAGATAGATAGATAGATAGATAGATAGATAGATAGATAGAGAGAAAGATAGGAAGAGAAGGAGATAGATAGATAGATAGATATGAACAGACTGAGATAGATAGATAGATAGATAGAGAGAGAGAGAGATAGGAACAGAATGAGATATATATATATATATATATATATATATATATATATATATATATATATATATAGATAGATAGATAGATATGAATGAATATGAACAGACTAGATAGATAGATAGATAGATAGATAGATAGATAGATAGAAAGGAACAGAATGAGATAGATAGATAGATATGAACAGACTGAGATAGATAGATAGATAGATAGATAGAGATAGAGATAGAGAGAGATGAGATGGGAACAGAATGAGATAGATGAATGTAGACAGAATAAGATAGATAGATAGATGAATGGGAACAGAATGAGATAGATAGATAGATAGATAGATGGATGGATAGATGAGATAGATAGATAATAGATAGATAAGATAGATGGGAAGAGAATGAGATAGATAGATAGATAGATAGAAAGGAACAGAATGAGATAGATAGATAGATATGAACAGAATAAGATAGATAGATAGATAGATAGATAGGAACAGAATAAGATAGATAGATAGATAGATATGAACAGGCTGAGATAGATAGATAGAGAGAGAGAGAGAGAGAGAGAGAGATAGGAACAAAATGAGATAGATAGATAGATAGATATGAACAGAATAGATAGATAGATAGATAGATATGAACTGAATGAGATAGATAGATAGATATGAACAGACTGAGTTAGATAGATAGATAGATAGATAGAGAGAGAGAGAGAGAGGAAAAGAATGCGATAGATAGATAGATATGAACAGAATAGATAGATAGATAGATATGAACAGAATGAGATAGATAGATATGTACTGAATGAGATAGATAGATAGATAGATAGATAGATAGATAGATAGATAGATAGATAGATAGATGTAAATAAAACAACTGGTACATTTGAAATCAGAGGCAAAATTAAAACAAAATTCCAAAGACCATAATGTTTTTTATTAAGAAATTCAACAGCAAAGATAACTAATAATTCGTTTGTCTTTCATTGTGCTTTTGATTAATTTTATGTTTCAAATGTAAAAGCATAATTAAATATTTTGACTACGGTCATCTCACGTATTTATACATGCCTTAGTAATTTTTGAAAGGATTTTTTTATACAACATTATTTCTCAGCAAAAGGACCCGTGAAATTTTCACGATTTTCCTCGTGGTAATGATCGTGTAAAGCTCATGGCGACATATATGACAATAAAATATCTGTAGGAATTCCCATATCGCATCGTTAATTATTTGAGCTTAACAACTTTAACAAAATACCACAATAACACTCTATAAATATAAACACTAGGGCACCGCAACATGGTGTAATGGTTAGCAAGCTTGTCTCGCTAGATTAATTGAAAGTGAGCTCGATCCTAACTGGCTGCTCCATATTTTTGGCCTTGTGTCACATCTAAGCTACACTTAAAAATTATTTGGGCAATTTAATGTGGCGCTGTTGAATTCTCTCTCTCTCTCTCTCTCTATCTATCTATCTATCTATCTCACGTCTTCTCCGGCCGGGGGTCGCTAAATGTTTTGGGTCCAGAGATAAAAAAAAAAATCTCAACAACAGAGAATGTTAATTATTTTAATTCACTGGGAGCTGTTTCAGGCATAAAGAGAACACGTCTACATCACTTGACGGTTAAGAAACAACACACTGAAAAACTTTTCTCTATCTATCACTCCCACGTTAGGTCAGCCAATCAAAATCGATTTCCTTATGTTTTAGATCTGACCCCGAAGGTCAACCTCAAGAAAAAAATAATAGTCTGCTAAATTAATATTTAACTGTGTAATGTTTAGAAAACTTATTCTAGATCTATTACGACTGATCTTTGAGTTCGATCCTCAGTGGGAGCCCCAGACTGAAGCTATGTGCCACATCTAAGCCACGCTTAGAAAATCGCCATAAATATGAAGGATTCTGGCAAATTTTAGAAGTAAGTGGGTACAAATGAAATGATTTGAAATTGAAAACTTTTTCCACATCACTGAAACAGACGATAACTCTTCAGTCTTCCTTTTTTTTTCTCTTTCGTTTTCTCCCTGAAACAAAGTAGTCTTCCGTCTTCTCATGCGATCAAAACGGGATAGTCCATTATTTATGAATTACTGGCAGGACGTAACAGTAGTGCAAACTATGGAACTAACGAAGAGAGAGAGACAAGGACAATTATTATATGATGATGATATATGGAAAATATTATTAAACATTGTCATAAACACACACACGCATATATATATATATATATATATATATATATATAGTAATGCATGTTTCATTAAATAATATAGACAAGTTTTGTCTATTTCTTTTATACAATGATAGTCCGCTCTTGCTGCATGAAAAAAATTAAAATTCTTGAAGCTATATACATAAAAATGAAGAAACCTAACTTGAACAAAATAAACTATGAAATCTTCACAAATATTCTTAAATGCCTATAATTTATAACAGAAGCCATTGATTTATACCAACGGCTTCCCATACTTAACACTTCTCATTTTTCACTCTTGCGTAGTCATATGTGACGTCACGAGCTCCGACGCGATTTTCGCTTCCGCGTCTCGTATATACGAGTTTGTCGTTGCTTTGAAGTTTTTCATGCAGCAAGGGCGGACTATCATTGTTGTTTCGTCCGCGTGTTGTTTGATTTATTGAAATTGTCATCTTTGATAATGGCTTATGTGAGCCGAAAGCTTAGATCGGATTTAAAAATATATCAATATGGTTATTTCCTTTCGTCTTTCAATGATAATGTGATTAAGCTTATCAGACAATATGAAAGGAACTTACTTAAAATAAATAGACAAAACTTGTCTATATTATTCGATGAAACATGCAATAATGAAAAATTGCTGCCTAAATATACCTATATATATATATATATATATATATATATATATATATATATATATATATATGTATTTTGTCTATACATATTTGATTAGAAAACGTTTTCTCCTGCTATGATGTGTACTTTTTCGACTTAATTTTTACTTATTACGCACTAAATGTATCCATCGAAAGCACCAGATTAAAAGATGGCGTGCGCTTCCCATGTATTCATTCGTACACATGGTTACTGTATTTGGGACTGATCTGTGTTTTATTTTACGTGTGACGCGGGTAGGAGAGGAAGCATCTGCACCTTGTGTAGGGGTCGAGGGTGAGTGTGGAACTCAGTGCTTGTCCGCCTGTCTTTTCATGCGGAAGCTATCGACAGGGCTAACGTAAATAGACGGGTAAAGAAGAGAAAGACAATGGACAGGAAAAGAAGGAGGGAGAAAGAAAAAACAAAAGAATGGAAGAAAGAGAAGGGTGAGAAGGAAGGAATGGCGGCGAAAGAAAGACGAAAGGAATAATGAAAGAAAGAACGAAAGAAAGGGAATGAGAGGAAATAAAAATAAAAGAAATAAAAGAATGAAGAAATTGTCAATTTTATGAAGAGGAAAGAGAATCGAGTCAAATAGAGGAGAAAGAAAGTGCATACAATGAGAACGGGAAAGAGGAATTGGGAATAAAGAAATTCATAGAAGAAAGAAAGAAAGAAAGAAAGAAAGAAAGAAAGAAAGAAAGAAAGAAAGAAACGACTGGGAAAGAACGAAAGAAACAAAGTAAATAAATAAATAAATAAATAAATAAAGAAAGAAAGAAAGAAAGAAACGACTGGGAAAAGAACGAAAGAAACAAAGTAAATAAATAAATAAATAAATAAAGAAAGAAAGAAAAGAAAGAAAGAAAGAAAGAAAGAAACGACTGGGAAAGAACAGAAGGAAACAAAAGTAAATAAATAAATAAATAAAGAAAAGAAAGAAAGAAAAAACGACTGGGAAAGAACAGAAAGAAACAAAGTAAATAAATAAATAAATAAATAAATAAATAAAGAAAGAAAGAAAGAAAGAAACGACTGGGAAAGAACGAAGGAAACAAAGTAAATAAATAAATAAAGAAAGAAAGAAAGAAAGAAAGAAAGAAACGACTGGGAAAGAACGAAAGAAACAAAGTAAATAAATAAATAAATAAATAAATAAAGAAAGAAAGAAAGAAAGAAAGAAAGAAAGAAAGAAAGAAAGAAAGAAAGAAACGACTGGTAAAGAACGAAAGAAACAAAGTAAATAAATAAATAAATAAATAAATAAAGAAAGGACTGGGAAAGAACGAAAGAAACAAAGTAAATAAAGAAACGAGAGGGAAAGAAAGAAATTCATAGAAGAAAGAAAGAAAGAAAGAAAGAAAGAAAGAAAGAAAGAAAGAAAGAAGCAATCAAACAAAGAAACAAACAAAGAGTATAAGAAGAGATAAAAATAGAATGAGTTCAAGAATGCAAGAATTCAAGTGGGAAAGAAAAGAGAAAAATTGAAAAAAAAAGAAAGAAAGAAAATAAAGATAGGAGAGGGAAAGAAAGAAAGAAAGAAAAGACAAGAGAGGGAAGGAACTAAGAAAGAAAAAAGAAAGAAAGAAAATAAAGACACGAGAGAGGAAGAAAGAATATAAAAAGAGATAAAAACAGAATGACAAAAAGAAGAGGTTGTCAATTTAGTGAAGAGGAAAGAGAACAAAGAGAACTGGGAGAAAACAAGAAGACGATCAGAAAGAAAATAATGAGGAGAGGGAGAGAAAGAGAGAGAGAAAGAGAACGAGAGAAAAAAGAGAGAGATTGAAAGAGAGAGAGAAAGAGTGAGAAAGAGAAAAAGAAAGAGAGAGAGATAAAAAAGAAAGAGAGAGATTGAAAGAGAGAGAGACTGAAAAAGAGAGAGTGGAAGAGAGAGAGGGATAGAGAGAAAGAGAGAGAGAAAATAATAAGCATAAATGTCGGTGGTAATAATGCCATAAATTTTCATAGGAGAAAAGCATTTATTTTACACAATAATTAATATATTGATAATTAATATATTAATAATTAATATATTAATAATTAATATATTAATAATTAATATATTAATAATTAATATATTAATTACATACAGGGATCGATCAATAATACTGTATCCTAAATATGCATAAGTTATTTATTTTACAAAATTTATTTTCATGTTTACTTTTCAACACAATCTCTTTCCTTATCAATGC